TGCCGCTTTGTACTCTCTTATTAGCCTTACTGAATCCCCATTATTCTTGGCGAGAAGAAGATATTCCGCAATTAAAAGGAACGGCTAATGGCATTGAGGTGATCGTTAAGAATGCACCACTCGAAGGCCTGGTAATTTATGATCGTTGAATGGAACTTCAAACGATTAGGATTCCGTGTAAGCAAACTTCACCGACACAGGAATCCACGAATCGGCGTGCCTCGAAAGACTGGTCTTTCGATCACGAACTGTAACACTTTCCCGAGAAACCGACCGCCGCCGAGACCCTCATTATCGTCTTCCCCGATTACAGAAATTATTCTGACCTCAATCATCTGTCATTGTTACTACCTTTCTACCAATCTTCGCTGTATCCTTAATTGTTCTCCGCTGGCACATTCGCGATCAGTCGCACTCTATTAACTCTAAAATACCTACCTTTCCAACTTGTTCAAATTAAATTCAACGAATAAAATGAATATGTCAAATATTCTCTCCTAGCGAGCGAGCGTAACGTTACCTTAATTGGCACGTTTCGATCGAGATTACTCGATCGTTACTCTTAATATAACAACAACAGCCGAACAATTCAGCGATCAACAGGCTGATTCTTATCTACGCGTTCCTAGTTAGGTTTTCTACGAAACGCTGCTTAAGTCGGCAAACAATATTTTTCATTGCGAGCGACCCGCGATTCGCCGGCCTCGCAGGTCGCAGCGACAGTTCTCGCGACATCAAAAATGGGAGGAGACCCCGGCGAAAGTAGCGTAAGCAGCTTTGACATGTTAATGCGGATAAATAAGAAGGATCGCGCTGGTTGCTTTGGCGATCACACAATTTCTCGCTGGCGCTCTTCATATTTCACCGGGCCGCTGGAAACGCGAGGGTCCGACATTATTATGTATGCTGTACCCCTGTTAAGCAGCGGCATTTCTTTTTTGCGAACCGTGCCGCCGCGATATATACATCCTAGTTCTTTTGCGCGTAAATTGCATGGCTACCTCTCCTCAGACTGTTACGGCCTGGGCCGGGCATTAAGTCCATGCGTGGACTCCAGGATGGATCCTGTGTTTGCTGAGGGGATAATAGTGTAATGGATGGACAGGGACACCGGACTAACGGATGAGACTGCTGTTTTCGAGACTCTAGTCTGAGGCATGCCGCCTCGCTCCTCTTCCAGTACACTATTACCCCCTTTTGTCGGCTAATTGGCATCATTGTTGCGCATTGTTCAACCGTCCCAATTGTCCGTTTTCGTTTTTTACCCCCGTTTCCCTGATGCGCGAATCAACAGCTGCCGCCCACGAAAAACCGCCTTTTGTCGAACTTTAATGGCGTCCGCGTCGTAACGATCAGAATTTCGGAGACATCTGGTGCCTCGGGTATTGGTTAGTTTCGTTCCGTTATTCGGAAAAATCTACACCATCGACAGCGGCTGTTACAAAGGAGAAACTACTTTTTTCTACATTCTCAAATTTCTAGCTTCTTGAAAAATCTCTTGATTCGTAGATTCAGATGGTTATAACACAACTGTTACATTCGAAAATGTAATGTTTCTAATCAATTTAAAATGTGAAACAAATCAAGTAGTCTTAACCACAACATGAAAGACAAGAAAGAAATGTCTTTGGCAGACCTAAATCATTGGACATCTTATCCAGCGCAATTTAGATATTAAACCGTTTCAATGGAAAGTTCGAAACGACGTTCTGTCATTTAATTAACGACAGAGAAGCTCGCCGGGATGATTTAAGATCGAAAATTGACACGCGTTTCCGTCGCAGCAACGAGCGGTAGATTCTCGCGGAAAATTCAAGTAGCCAATCAGACGACCACCGACGCAGAAGCCGCGAGGCGAGTGGCGATCAGATCACCGACAAACGTGGTCAGATAATTCCGCGTTTACGATCTGAACGAAAGATTCCATCCAGTCGGTCCGCCATAAATATTAATTCCGCGCGTTACACGCGACTAGGATCGTTCCAGCCGGGCAAAAAGGAAAATCCGAGAACGGTTCCGTGTAACTGGTCCGCTTTCCTAGACGAGGATCATAATAAACAATTATTATACCCGATAAATAAGATCCGCGCGGAAAGAGAGATCAAAGGCGCGTCTGACACGTTGATCTTTCTGATACAGATTACGGATTGATAAATGATCGACGACGGTGGGGGCTGGTCGCCGACTGTGATTAGACTTTACTCCGGGCGTCTGGAACGCGGAAGTGTTTCGCGTTTAACATTTATGCCGGATCCGCACACCGGAGGAATTGGTTTAGACGACATTAATGCCAGCTTCAGATTCCGCGCATCACTTCAATTTATCGCTGTCGTTAAATGTATCCGTAACGTTCGTACTCGCAATTAGTAGGTTACGGATATTTGTATCGGTATTTATTTTTAGGGGATAATTAATAGAAACTGGCGTCAAATATGTATTCCCCTGGATGTTTTTATTAATACTCCTCGGGTGTCTATCAATTGGCAAGAAAGTCGAAACGACTTCGTTACGTCGTAAAGACTCTTTAATTAGTAATATCAATGTTGATCCTCGATTTGTTGTGTTAGCGTATCGATAATCTGTTACATAAATATTTGATCGTATCAGTGTTTCCAATTAAACTACATGACAATAGAACGAATTCTATTGTCCTTTAATCGTTACTCTCTTCAATTACAGTTATTAATATTACGTTGTTATACATCAAATATTAACATTGTTGGATATATAAATATTATTATTTAATATACAAAACTGTGTACACTGATTTACATACTTTTCACCGAAAATAATCTCTTCCGATATATTCACGATTCGAAAGAAACCAAGATTTTCTGTCAACTGGATATTCGAACGTGTAGATTCGTTTATTTTAATTATAGGTGATCGAAGGACAAGTGCGGATCCGGCCTTAGGCGAGTGTGTCGCGCGCTCACGCATACCGGTTGGAAACTTTGACATTCTGCGCGTAAGTATGCCCGATTTTCCCACGAAGCAACGATCGACTAACGGGAGCAGCCTTTTCGGGCAGTTTCTGTTAATAACCTAACAGCGTTCCGCGCGCGCGCTTAATGCTCGAACGAGCATGTATGCGCCCAAGTATGGTGATTAGATTGGCACAACGGCCACTTACGTGTTCTCCGATAACGCCTTTGTCTCTTTTTCACCTCGCGGAACCACTGATACCGCGCCAGTCGTAGAAAGCGGACCGTACACAATCCCGTTGATTTACGGCGCGGTGAATTTTCCCGGCAAATCGTGTTCGATTATGCAACCGCGCGGCGGAATTGTGAAACCTGATGAAAATCCCAAATGAGAAACCCGTGTTTCTCTTCTATCTTGGTCTATTAGTTCGGCGCGGCTCTCAGGTGTGCCGGTGACTCCTAGAACACGTTCGTGTGAGGGCAACGGCGGTGTCGACAGGAAAATGTCGGTACGCCGCGGCCTCGCGTAAAATAAAAAGACATTTCTGATATCAATTTGAAACTGTGTGTCCGATAGAAACAGATATCTCGTAGTGAGATACATAAATTAGTTTCATAAGGTAGCGTGATTTGTTGACTGCAATTCCGAAGTTAGGTTCTTGTGTACTCGGAAGCGATCGGCGAGAAAATCGTTTACAAACAGTCGTCCAGAGCTTATATACTTTACACATTTCAATTATTTGAACATTTAGAACGAGAAGTTTGAATAGTAATTTACAAAGTAGTTCAACGAAAAGATTTCCGGAAAGAAATATTCTTAGGTAATCGAATTTTCACTGAGAAATGAATTAATGTTCATGAAAGTATTACTTTCTTAAACATTTTATACTTGAATAATGTGTTTCCCCAAAATAGTTACTGTTAACTAACTTAACTTTTCAATTGAACATTTGTAAGATTTAATATAAATTCAAATATAGGATTCTAAAATTGGTAATAATTATTCCCGTTCGAAGTGCCTATCAATAGAAAGTACGTGGTACACGTCTACAGTGCGACGTTCTCTCAAAGAAGCATTTTGAATCCGTCGTGAATGTGTGTTGTGCAATCTCCGAAGAAAGAATGGCCTGTACATTGACCCCATCCATCCAGCATGGAAGTCGTTCGACACGCTTTGTTTTGTACGTTAATCGTATACAGGTCAGAGAGACCATTGGCCGATTTAGGTTGGGACGCGGCGGCGGCAGCTACTTAACCAGACAATTGGCTGTCATTGACACACAAAACCGTTAGTAACGAGTATGACGATCGCTGTTAGCGATGGGCTTTCTTATTAATCATCTGGGGCGACCCGCACCCGCTGGGGATCCTGCGTGGATAATTTGCTTACTATCTTAGATCTCGGTCCCGTTCCGAAGTGTTACACTGACGTATGATAAATGTAAAAAGAATCCGACGAATAACCGTCGGCTCGAGCCCGAATAATTCAGCAGCTCCAATCTGTTATTATCTACCGAGTCGGACTAATCAGGTTTCTCATGGCTGACATAGGTCGAAAGAATGTAACGTAAAATGTTCGGTAATTACAGTGCAGACACTCAAACTTGTCCAATTACGTATAACCAGTTTCTAATGTATTAAAGTTCGCTAAATCTTACAACTAAACTAACTGATAACTAATAGGCTGTAAATTCTAACTTTACCACTCGAACTTATGAAAATTAATTTCAAACAAATTTTCCTACTAAATATTCAATAAACTGGTAATTTATGCTACACTATGCTAATCCTCTCGGTATACTCGAACTCCACGTTCTAATTATCAATATTCAATGATCACAATCACTATTTGTTCAATGTCTCTCATAAGAACCATCGTTGACCATCCTCAAGAAAGATTATACATCCACAGCGAAGTTAGTAGAAAGTGTTGCAGAAGATTCCGAAAGACGTTAATCAGATTTCAAAATTATTGACTGTCATATTTCGGTGAATGAATGCCGGTGTACCAGGCTCGATTGGAACGAGTCTGGGAATCGATCAGGGTCAATAGATAATAGAGATTCATGGACTTACCTCGCTCTTGAGATTCAATGGCACGTCGCTGGGAGCGTCCAACTCGACTTCCGTTTTCACCTGATGAGACAGCATGCTGTGGCTGTGCCGGGGCGGTGCGGCGGTCGCCAACATGTTGGGATGCTGCAGATGCTGAAGACGAGGTTGGAGATGGGGCTGGTGGTGATAAGGCGGCGACAATTGGGTGTTCAGAGTGCGAAGATCAGCTGGCGGGGAAGCGGGCGCAGCGGTACTGCTCTGTTCCTCCTCGGCTGAACCCTCCGCCATGTCAGTCTTGCATCCCGGGGACTCGTAATCTGCGAATCGACCAAAACTCTCTGAGGACCGATCTAATAGTTGAGATCGCTGCGTGGCACTGCCGCTTGGTAATTCTATAATGGCGAGAATATCATTTGTCTGAGCATCCGATCACGTGGACCGTCCGAGAACACATTCCGCATTCCAACTTTTTCACTTCTCGGTGGAAATTAAACTCTATTGTTCAAGATTATATCGTTAGGAGTGTGTCGAATAAGTAATCTGCATTAGACGAATTGACCTCTTAAGATTTACTTTGCGAATAGATTTGGAAGAGTTTATCATTTGGGACTTTCCAGTTTGAAAATGGATTTATACGCGTTTGGTGTAGAGGTTTAACCCTTTGAACTCTATAGGCTCCGATATTGCACCAGTTCTAATATTAAATATTTTAATGCACCTTAAAGAAACCACCCTAAAGTTACTCGACTTTCCGCACATCCAAATTTTCTACTAAGGAAAATAAAAGATTGAAGAAATGTTATGGCATTTCTAATTTTCGCTAGGAATACTATAAAAATTAGTTGCAGTTGCTGATAGATTACAAAACAACGTGGAGTGCTAAAGGTTAATGTTAAAAGGAGATAAATAAGTATTTTTTTCAGTGAATGAACTGAGGGATTTTATTTGTGAAATTGGTTTATAATGTTTGAAGAAATTGTGTTGTATAGTATTGATAATGTACTAAGTATTGTTATTGAGATATTAGCACATTTATTTGCCATTTGTGTGTTTGCTATACAAACGATTCTATTGGCTGCTTACCGCGTCAAAATGAAAACTGACAAGGCTTCATCGCATCAGTACGTGAACTCCTTAAACGAGTGCTTAAATTTTAAGCGAGGGTGTCAGGTTTCCTCCCGCGACGGCTGCATACTTGCGCGGTCTTTTAAAAACCGATTTTAATTCGGTGGAATTCCTGCGCGTGTTAGCCTGACAGTCGAATTATTAAAGGGAATTCTGCCCGCTCGCTCGCGGAGGAATTAATTTGCTTAAGTATTTTGTAACGTAAGCTGATGTAACTCGGGCAGCAGACAGATGTTGGGGATTGATTATGGCCAAAATGGAGGAAGAATGTACTGTCATATTAGACCGAAAATTGAGACTGACGTTTTCTAATCTGATAATTTAATCAGCTCTTTAATCTTTATGGACGGTTCAATAAAAACTCCATATCTCATACTATTTACATATTACGATAGGCATGATAGGTACTCGGATATTTATACCGCTCTAATGATAAAAACGAAACGTTCCCTACGCTATTAAAACTTCAATTACTTCAACAAACACCATTCGCACGTGGAATGATTCGACTAATTTTACTCTGAAAATATACCTCACGATCTCACTGCCGTTTAACCCTTTCAAGCCTGAGTACGGTAACCAACAAACATTTTAACCCCGCTATGAAAAAATATAATTAAATCCAGCTTTCCCGCGTTGGGTTTCACAATTTTCCACTAAAAGAAACATGGTAATGCGTTTTTTTTAGAGTAGCATTTATAGTTAGAACGTTCACACCGGTGGTTTCCGTGTTACGCTGCGACAATAATGATATAGGGGTGGAAAAACAATGGTATGTACCACCGTGCGGTGGTTAACGAGATGGTGCAGTTGCATTTTGCGAGTGTATCAATGCGGTTGCGGAAGCGATCGCACGGTGGAGCGATATCAATCCGTTAGGCCATGGAAAATACGCATTACGTGGTCACGATTTTTTCCCTAATTTCGCCTCGGTGTACAATGAACCATCGATCTTAATCGGAATATTCACGATACCGAAACTCTTTCCGTTAATCGTATGAAATTACCTTTAATCGCACCGTCTCGCGGGGAAGAAAAGAACGGAGCCGCGATCGATAAGATCCGAAATCGTCCCCACGTCGGGGCCGGACTTGAAAGGGCGCAGGCGACACGCATAAACGCGATACTAATTAAACCGCGGGACTCCCGCCAGCCGTATCGAAGCGTCGTGCGTGCAGCTGTTAAGAATGCAGACAGTGGAAATTAGAAGGAGGCCCGTTCATCTTCCAACATCAAAGCAAAAACATTTGGCCGATGGGATCGGCGTCGAGGGAAAATAGTGGGGGCCAACGCGTCACGGACCATCGAGAATAAAATCGTGTATCGTGGTTCATCTTCACGGACGCATCGCGTTTATCTGGTTAATTATTTTTAAACGGGCTACCGGTTCGAGAGATTTTCAGCCTTTGCTCACTATGTTGCGATCATCTTTTCACCGAGGAGAATCGGAGCTCTTGCGTTTGCTTTTATTATAAGAGGAGTATTGTAATTACTTGAGAAATTTGAGGTTTTTTGGTAATCGTTTAGATTTCTTTTCTAGTAATTGAAATTCTATATTGGCTATTGTGAAGTTCATGCTGAAAATTTGTATGTTTAAAAGTGCAATATGCATTTATTTACCTTATGTTAAGAACTTTATAAGAAAACTGAGTTCCACTAAACAATAGTAAATTAGAGATAATGTCATCTACTATTTCCGCTTACTTTTCCTGTGCATAATATACCAAGAAGCCATTGAACTCTGATTTATTACAATACAATTCATCTCACAACCAAATCACAACTCATTTTCAACCAACGAAAAATAAGAAAATTCTGAATATCAACTCGCAAATTACAATACCACCAACTAGAATACCCAGAACACCATGACAATACTCCCATAAGTAACCTTCATACTCGAAACGTTCAGATTTCCAAGTCTTTTCTAAAAAGCAATCGGGCCGATTCAAGGGCAACGAAGTCACCGGCCTGTCTCGAGGGGATCCTCCGATCATTTTCTGGTCTCCTTAGCCCGGCCTCCCCCACCTAGACACCTAACGAAAGCACGAAAGAAGAGATCGCCGGGGTGGGGTCGGAGGAATCCATCGGCGAAGCCGCGAGATCGTGTACTTGGTGAACGCAACTAACAACATCTGCTTCTATTTTTGCGCTGGCCCGAGTCCAGCGCTTTACTTTTTTAAAAGCCGTGCGCCTATGACGAACGGCTGGATGGATCATCGAGCGGAAGACCGGGGTAGAGAGAAACGAGCCGGTTATTCTGGACAAATTATTGTCAAAGGGCGGGAGCGCACCTTCTCTGCCCACCAGCTACTTTGTTCCTCATAAAAGCGGTTTTATAATGGTCGCCGCGCAAATGTTTCTCGCCGGGTTTTTAAAACGGCGACGCGGCTAGAGGGACAGGGACAGAGAATTCTGTGCGCGAGAGAGACAGAGGGAGAGAGGAAGAGAGAAAGAGAGAGAGAGAGAACGCGCCCGGTCGCGCGGCCCGTCGCAAAAAGAAGCCGGTAGAGGCTCCGTGCCGGTCGCCTCGCGACGACGAGACACGTTCACGGCTGTGAACATTGGGTTTTGACACGGTGTTACACGAGGTAACGTCGTAATTTGTCGCGGTTTTTTAGGACGCCGGTGTAACTGTTCGGAAAATGCCCACGGATATCGGGTCCGGCCGATCTAATGGAAACTTTCGTGGTTTAATGCTCGCTTTGCTCGATTCGGGACGTCCGGCGGTTGGAGATTTCCTTTTGCAGGAGTTTAATATTAGCAATGTCGGAATGATGTTGCGAGGTTAGAAGTTTCGTAGGAGTTTGTGAATTAAGTGTCATATGTATGTGTATAGTTTTTTAATATTGAATGTTTAAGGTATAAGGTAAGAGGACGAAATGTTCAAGGGTGTGTATATAATTTATAAATGCAACATTCTAGAACTGCTTCTATCATTAAAGAATACTAGAAAACTTTCAAGAATGAAATCTGAATCACGAAATTTTGATCGAGAAAGTTGTTAGTTTCCTATTACGTTACTTGTATAGTTTCAAAGATGAGAATCCTCTTCGAATATTTGACTAAAACTATATTTTTATATTCAATTCGTGGAGTTAAGTATTATAAGGATGTCACCGTGTTCGTCAGTGTTTTGTACGAATCGAATGCGGCATAATGCGTGGACGCAATGACGTTCGTAATCGCCAAGGCGGAAGGTTATTTAGGGATCCAAGCGATGATTGATCCTCGCCTGTAGCCGCGCGGAAACGCGACGCCTCTCGAAGGCCGTTCGCGGAACCCAGCAATTTTCAAATATTAATGCTCAATGACACTTGAACGATCGCTGTTATAATCACGGGCCGATTTCTTCGTGCCAGTCCGAGGGGCTGTTCTTTCGTTACGGGCATCGCGAACGGGAGTGGGGCCCCGACGAGATACGCTAATGAAACCGCACTCTCATTAAACCATCCAAATCGACGATACTAATTGGCTAGCTTTCGGAATAACCGGCATTATTGCTCAGGTCGCGATATAATAATCGTTGCGGACGAATTCGGCTCGGACAGCCGGTGGTTAAAGCGTCTAGTAATTTCACGGACGTGGCCCTAGAGCGATTAATATGATTCAGACGGGAATTAATGACCGCGAACGTAAAAAATGCAAAACTGAAGCATCGTTTAATGATCGAAGCCGATCCTGTTTTCTTAGAAACTCGAGCGTGGTTTGGTAACTTACGTGCGGTACTGGACATTTCTACTTGCGTGAATGTTAAATCATTTGGTTAAGTGATATTTATTTTTGCGAAATTGTGGACGTGCAAAAGTAAATGGGAGATTTAGGAGTGAGTAATATTTAAATTGAAAATTTTTATTTTTACGTGTGCGTATGTTTAGAAGTAATAATGCGAATGATAGTTATTGTAAAATGTGAAGAACCTAAATGTATATTGTAGTGAATTCCATTGAATTTAGAGCTTTATTGTTTTTTTTAACATTTCTGTGGGCGATAAATGTATAAAAGTTGGCGTTCTACTGTAGAATTGTTCGTTTGACAAAAGCTTTGGAATATTTCTATCGAAATTGTAGTTTAAAATTTGATGTTTAGTTTTTGAAACTGTAAGCAAATGAAATTTTCAATTAATACAATAAAAGTTTGTTATATTCATAACCACGTGGAAAATAATGGAAAATATGAAAAAGAATGAAAT